TGCTGGGCAGGGGAGAGAGCGGTGTCTCAGAAATCTTTCTCGGAGACAGATGAAGGAGAAAGTCATCAATTTCTATTTGTCACTAATGTGAAAGACCAATTGATGGCCTATATGGGTGACTCAATTTGGAAAAGCGATGAAAAGTTACGTGCCCATCAAAATTCCATAAATCACATCACGTGGCAACATTAAGAGAGCCCCCTCCTCAAAAACACCCCCTCGTGAATCTTTTGCAAGACACAGAATTCAGCTGGCAGATTTGGACCTCCGTGTGTCAGATATATTTAATACACGGCAGAACAGGATAAAAAAAAAACAAACAAACTGTTTTTTATCCTTCCCTCTTACCTCCCCCAGTTCTCTTATTATCTCCATCTTTATAACATTTGAATGTTCTATGTTTAACGTTCTCTCTCCAGGACTTGGAGCTCATTGGGGGAAACCAACCAAGTAAAAAATGGTAGTTGTAAAGTGCCTGGGTGTCCTAATAAGGCAGAGTGTCAAATAAATCCAGGCTCCTGCTACTTTCCCACCCAGGGAAACTTTAAACAAGAAAGAGATCCAACTGCTCCAATTGGATGCCACCCACACTCCTTAGGACTTCTGTGCCACGATGAGCAAGGCTCTCAAATCCCAGCCCTCAGTTTCCCCATCTGTGAGATGGACTTTCTCTGTGCCCAGAGGAGATTATTTGCGGGTAAAAGAGTCGACGAGAAGCTAGAACTCCATCAGCAATGGCTCCATCTGTCAAATCCTTTACCAGGTAGAACACGATAGAGTTAGTATGACCGCTCCGATAATGGGATATCCCTACCATCCCCGGAGGTGTCCCAGCCACAGTGAAGGAGAGTAGAAAGAGACAGCTTTGGGGACAGGTTCAAAGTTCAGTATCTATGTGACCTTGGACGAGTCCTTTACACTCTCCGAGCCTTTGTGTCTTCATCTTTAACATTATTAGCACGGTGAATATTAGCACGGTGCCCGGCAGAGAGTAAAGCCTGTCTGAGCGGGAGGTACTCTGGTGATTGTTATCCTGCCGCCATATCCTCAGTGCTTGGCACAGAGCACTCAACAAACACCCGTCCAGCGAATTAATAAATGGAGAACTGTATCACCGTACTTATCATTACAGCCAAAATCTGCTTTGGAACCCAATCAGGATCCTCAGCCCACTCCTCTTCTCCATTGTCAATGACAGATGGACATTTTCTCCTTCTCCTCTCTCTCCTTTCTCTTCCCCGTCCTCCAGTAGGTCTATGCCTTTAAGCGTATATACGTAAGATCAGAAGACGGTACTTTAAAACGACAATACCAAGCACGTTCTTGGGGAAGCAGGTCTTGCAAGGGGCCAGGGACTCATCGCACATCCCATTCATTGAGTCTGAGTGATACACTTGCATACGCGAAGTGTGTCCAAGGTCGATCGCCCTGGGAGTTCAGAGTCTGGTGGGAAAAGGCCAAAATAGCTACAACCCAGTAGGTGCTGGAACAGGCGTTAAGTACCAGGGAATGGGAAAATGGCAGGTAAGAGATGATTTCTCCCCAGGAGGGACGGGGTAATCGCGAGAAAGGACTCTGCGGAGGAAGAGCCACTTAAGCCAGGGAGAGCAGTGATGGGAGAGGAGGAGAGAGAGAGGAGAAATAAGAGTAGTGGTGGTCGTTTTCCAGGCAGAGAAGACGGAATGGGAAGAGCTGGTCCCAGGCCCGCGAGGCCGGTGGGGAAAGCCCAGAGTCAACCTTCCTGGTATATCTGGGGAACAGCGAATCAGTGCGGCTGAAAGAGGGGCCGAGGAAGGAGTAACAGGAGACAGTCTGGAAAGCTAATACTCAATACCTGGAGTATTGGAATACTTGGAAAGCTAAGTACTCAATACTTAAGTACATTGAGTACTTAATGTGTTCTGGGCAAGGGTAACCTTTGCTCATGTCAGGAACAGGATGGGAGAAAACCACCAGAGACAACCCTATTGACGGTGAATCTGCCTCCCCGGTGGCCAGGGGACCCCGCCAGTGGGCGGCGAAGAAAGCAGTGTAAGAGGGGTCCAGGAGACTGGGTTCCAGTGCTGGCTGCCGTCAGCCCGGCCACCTACTCGCGATGTCCCCTTTAGGCCGTCTTCCTCGTGGATAAAATGAGCAGCTTGGAGAATGGGATCCTCAGAATCCTTCATGGCTCTAAGATAGGATGGTGAACCTCTGATGGTGAACCTCTGAAGGGATGACGGGCTGTAGAGACGGGGTGGGGTCTTCTCTGAGCACTTATTAACTTGTGGCTCCCACAGTCATCACTCAGAGAACCCAGAGGGACAGAAGCAAAATCAAAAGGCATTTTCAGAAGACAGATGACTGAAGGGGGCTGACATATGTGTGAGAGTTTGGGGAATTTATGCAGGCAGCCTCACAGTCATAAATAAAATCCCTTTCTCTTACCCAAAACCTCATTCGGGGGGTAAACACCGGGCACCGTAATAGACAATTTGGCTGTATCTCCCGCCCCGTGCCTCACTTGAATGAAAAGCAGCAGTCCCCAGGCACGGTAATGGGTCTGGCCGCCTCTTTACAAACATCCATATTGTCACCGGCGGACAAGCAGGGCTGAGGATGGAACAGGACGGGCAATTCATCTCTGAGATTCCTCACCCCTTCACACAGCCTCACCCTCTGAGCGATCTATCCTGAGGCGGAGGGGTTTGGAAGGAGCCCAGATCACCAAATGCAGGGAGACGTGACCCTGCGGGAAAGGGCATGAACAGCACCCTCTGCAGGTCGGGGGAGACTCCTGCACCCCCCACCACCCGTGCTGGCCCAGCCCACTGTGCACAGGGCTGCCTGCTGACAAGCACAGCTACTTGTTTTCTTGACCTACTTCTCTTCCCATCCCTGCCCCACTCCAGATCCCCTCCGGAGCCCACAGTAATTAGCACCTTTCCATCCATTAGGTTCAGGAGACTTTTAGAAAAGCTCCCGGCCCCCAGGATAACCAAGGAGACGGCAAAACGGGTCCTGGCCCTGTGGCTCTGGTTTCCCTTTTCTTTTCTTTCTCTTTGTTGGCTCAACTCCGCTTCCTGGCCTCTGCAGGGGATCGGGCCCGGTTTGACCTTCCAGCCTGGCTGGAAACCGGCTGCAAGTGGCCTGGCGTGAACCAAAACACAGAGGGCCAACAGAGTCTTGACAGAACTGGACAAGCGATGCTCCAGGGGTGGGTATGGGAGCACGAAGGGTCCCTTTGAAGCCCTCCGTTGTCAGCGTAGCAGCCAAGAGAGGGCTCTGTCAGCTCCTCTTTCTGCTTCCCCCCCAGAGAACAAGTGTCAGGAGAGCCAAGGCCGTGAGGCGCCGCCGTTTCTGGCTCAATCCCTTTCCGCTTCCCATTAGCGACAAATGGAAATTGATGGGTTACCGCTTTATCCACTCATTGAGAGGGGGAGAAAACCTCGCGGCAAATGCTGAATAACTGTAGGCATCTTATAAATTAAGCATCTTAAGGAGATGAACCGTTTTTGCATTGCTGCTAAGCAGAATTAAATTAGGTTTTGAAGTTTCGGTAGAAACGAATGGGGAAGAGGGAGGGAAGATTTTGTTTTTTTAATTCCTTTTCTCTACGCATGCAGAGTGGCGCGTCGAGGGCAGGGTGAGGGGAAGAACTAAGTCACCTGTCTGCATTTCTGATTCCAATCAGCTGCTGCTGCATATGCATGGCGAAATGAGCCCACAAGTTCACACGGGACAGCTCGCTGAGATGCAGTTCGGCCTCTGGCCCGTGGTGCATGGTCTCACCAGGTCTCGGCTTCTGGCTCACCTCTACCCACCCTGGGCATCCCAACCACCATCAGCACGCCAACCTCTGGGACTGTGGACCAGTCCTGATTGCAGCCGGAGAAATCCTGCAGCTTAAAGCCAATTCCCTGGGACTCGGCGTCATGATAGCTTCCTTCTGTATCAGCCTCTAAAGCTTTCAGGTTCAGGTTTAGGATCTAGGATCCTGCCTTGTTGACACTACCCCATTTCCGCCCCCTCTGCAGCTCAGTGTGGGAAGAGGGGCATCGGTACCCGTCTGTATAACTCGCCTAGGTCTGAGACCTTCCAGGGCTGTTGCCCAGCCTTGCTCCAGGGGTCCCGCTGTCAAACCAGCTTTCCTAGGACCAACGACCCACCTGCCTGGGCTTCTCACTGCTGTGCCCCCTTCTGTCCCCACTGACCCCCTTCCCCATACACACACACAATTCCCCAATCCCTGACACTCCACGTCAGTCCTGGGCCATCAGACCACACAGTGTATGCCAGACTGAACCAACTCCTTGTCCCTGAGGCTGACGCTGTGTCCCTGGGACCCAGATCAGCAGCGCCTCAGCCTGCAGTTAACACGCCTTGCTGGGTCCTGGGGAAGAAGAGGCACTTGGTTTCCCAGGCACTCCCAGTCCTCGCTCTAGGGACGAGGTCGCTGACAGGGCAGGTGGCAGCATTGCCTGCCCACACCTTGAGTGGACATCCCAGCAGCAGCAAGGCCAGGGAGAGAACATGTGTCACTGAAGGGGCCTTGCCTTCCCTCTCCAGAATCAAGCCAGATACCAAGTCAAGGGCCCCGCCAAGGAGTTGGCCAGGGTCACTAAGAGCACTCCCTGACTTGATCTGAGGCACACTCTCTGGGGAGGGGAGGGGAGGGGAGATCTCTTCCCTGATCTCCAGCCCTGGATCTGGAATCCCCACAGCTCCTCCCAACCTCCTCCTTCCCCTAACAGCTGCCCCTTCATGCGCCAGGCCGAGCCTTTCACACACTGCAACTGGGGACTTGGCACCCTTAGTCTCACAAGGGGGCTGGGCACATTGACCAGACCGGGAGCTGTGCGCCTGTCGGCTGCCCCCCCTGCCACCACTCCTCCTAGCCCTGCTAAACTCAGGAGGGCACAGTGTGGGGCCAGATGTCCCCGGTGGACACCTGGGATTAACAGGAGGAGGCATCCCCCAGGGCTGGGCTGTCCCCAGGGGGCCGTATGAGCAGCACTTACCGATCCTCAAGGAGTGTGGACTGCAGGCGACCATCACGAGCCACGCGGGAAGCAGCACCAAAGGCGCCGAGACGCGGGGCATCTTCTATGAATCCTCATGGAGCCCTCTGCTGGTCTGGGCATGACATAACTCTGCGAGAGAGTGGGGAGGGGTGGGGAGCAGGTGAGTCCCGTGCCCCTGCTAGGTAGCCACCCACCCAGCCCAGAGACTAGAGCTGGTGCCCAGAGGGCCCCCGGGGAGAGGGCCCGCAAGCCCCACCAGAACCGCCGGTGGGAGAGCTCCAGGCCAGCTCCGGGCCTCTGTCCTCCCTCCCTGTCCCCAGGCCCACAGGAGCCTCAGGTTCTAACTCCATCCCGCTGATCAGATCGGGGACACACGGGTGTAAAGGTGACTAAATGATGCGTGGGGCTCCACCGTTCTTAAATCTCTAACTGGGGATGAAAACCTTCATCCGCTCTTACGCAGGAGCCATGAGCGAGCAGAGGAGGGAGGGGTAGCAAGGCGGCGCCACGGCCCTGGGACACACCACACGCACCGCTCGCTGGGGAGTGGAGTGGGGACGGCGCCGCGTTCGAGTCCTGCTCCTCCACACGCTAGTTAGGTGGCCTTCCTGAGGACTTCTCTCGGCCACCCAACTCCCTGTCCTCACGGGTAAGACCAGCAGGACAACAGCCACGTGGTGGAGCGGTCCTGCAGATCGAGATAACGCCGGACAAGCGGCCAGGCTAGACAACAACAGTCCCTCCCTGGCACACGCAGGAGAGGTCTGTTCTCAGCAAATGCTGAGGACAGAAGCATGCACACCAGGTCATCGGCTGGTTTCCACACCTGCTCTTGCTACCTGCTGAAAACCAACCCCTCCCCATCCTTCTGGCGCCAACCCCTCTTCCTCCAGAGGCCTCTGACGTCAGAACCAGAGCTAGAGAGGGGACTGGGGCAGGGGGGACCTCCCTGAGACCTCTCGGACACCCTGAGAACCGAGTCGATAGCCTGCCAGCTGCACCCCATCAGTGGGGTGAAGGTGGGGCCAGGAAACACCTGGCTATGCCAATCCCGGTCACCCTGGGTTAGGAAAGTAGTATTAAATGATTCTTCCTCCACCCCCTGGACAGACAACCCAATAGATAGATGGGCAAAAGACTAGAGCAGGTCTCCCACTAATAACGACATCCAAATGTCTCTTAACATTTGAAAAGGCGCTCAGCTTCACTGGGCATCAGGAAATGCAACTTCAAACCACAGTAAGATAACACTATGCACCCAGTGGAAGGACCGAAAGAAAGGACGGTACACAGAATGCTGGCAGGGATGTGGAGCCCGTGGATACGACTCTAGAAAAACTGGTCTTTATGCTCTTGAAATCCGGAGTTTTGCACTTACCCTAATGCCCCAGCCACCCCACAAGGAGTGTATTTTCAACAAAAATGCACGGATATGCTCGCCAGAGATGGAGTAGAATGATCACGGCAGCGCTCTCGGGATTCCTCCAAACTGGAAACTACCCACATGGCCAGTAGCAGAATGGAGAAGTACAGAGTACATTCGCATGATGGAATGTAACGTGGACATGAAAATCAACAATCAACAACCACATGTAACCGTCCGGATGAATCTCACGAACGTGATTTGAGCAAAAGAAGCCAGGCACAGCACAGTACGTCCAATAGGATTCTTTTTATAAAAAGTAGGAAAACAGGGGCGCCTGGGTGGCTCGGTTGGTTAAGCATCCGACTT